AAGCCCACACTTGGGAACATCTAAAGAAGCCTCACACTATTCTCCTATAAGTCCACAACCAGACTTGTAATCTTTCTTTTTATGGTCAATTGCAGCATAAATGATGAAATTAAGCCCCGTGTTCGATCGCTCTTCCAAGAAAGCAGAAACACAGCCGCTGGAGTCAATCTTTCACCTTAGACGAAGCTGCCAAAGGATATAATGATAACCAACACTTGATGTGACATCTCCAGCAACTTAGTTGTATATCAAGTCTGATGCTAAAGAAACTTTCTCAGACACTTTTTGAACATAACTCAATGCAACAAGTCCAGTGCTAGTTACTTGTCCTGAGGCAACCATCTTATCGGTGTTGTACCGGGCAGCATAGCCTATGCCTGATTTGCGATGTTGTCCAGGCCAGAATACTTCACCTCCCAAAGATTTATGAGGAGTCACTTTGATGTAACTGCCTCCAAGCAATCCACCATTCCACCATTCCCCATTTGAAGTTGCATCCTGTAATCCTTTCCCTTATAGTGCAAAGATGACCGCAGTAGATTGCTTCCCTAAACATAATGTGATACTTGCATGATATTGAAGTGGGAAGTCAATGAGGAGCCAACAACTCAAAGCCTCATTTCCTTATCCAACATAGTATCAAAGTTCCATTTCCTAGAGTGTGTATGAATTCATTTATGCATTATATGTGTTCTGTTCTAAACCTTTGCTATTTTAGATGACCTTTCCAGATTGGATAAATTTTACAGCGCCTATGCATTCATTCAAACATAAATTCAAATTTTACAATAAAAAAAGCTGAATCGGAAACAAGTAAAGCTTAACTATGTGAATTAAAATCAAAATTAAAGCGGAAGTAAAATGTTCAGAATCTCAAACACCTACCTGCAAATCGTGCAAATCGGAAATCAATGAGGCAGCAAGGCAGCGAATCAACAAGCAATCGAGCACGCAGGGGAAGAGGGCGGAGCTGACACAGGGGGAGGGGAACAACCGCATAAATCTATGGCTTTTTTGTTAAAATCTTTGTTTGACTAGCGGTGAGGTCGTGAAGACTGAAGATGAACGAACCATCCAAGCCACCGCTATGTGCAGTTGTCTGAAGCTCACCTACTGTTGTTACTCACCGCGCTCGCCTTAGATCTCGCTGCCGCTCCAGATCGCCTGCCGTGCTCCAGATCGTCCATGGCCTGCCATGCTCCAGATCGTCCATGGCCTGCGGTGTTCCAGATGATAGCCGCCGTCGCCTCATAGTTCCCCTGCGAACTCGAAGCCGTAGCGTACGTCCACCGTCTCTACGGGGCCTTTGTTATTGGCGTCTGCAACTCGACCTCGAAGAAGAAGGTTTTCCTCCATAGATGACCGAAGATAGACAAATAAGAAAATTCGAAGCGCTGCGACAAATCGACGTCCCCGTTTGGTTTTAGTTTAGAGTCGGATGAATTTTGAAATAAATAAATTTAGGGAAAATTAATAAAAATACCCCAAACTTTAAAGGGGTGTGAGCTATGTAGCACCGATACCGGTACGCGGAAACGCGGAAACGCGGAAACGGGTACGGGGATACGTCAAAACCAAAAAAAGTAGGATACGGATACGGGGCCATATTTATAAATATTAAAAGTTATGGGGGTGTATTTACAAATATTAAAAGTTATAGGGGTCTATTTATAAATATTAAAAATAGATTTTTTTTGAATATATATACATATATATATATATATATACACACACACACACATACATACATATAATATGCTATGATGTCTACCCATTCATTGCATTGAAACATTTTCCTTTTTCAAGATACTTGGTAATAAATTCATAATATTTCTCATATACATTAGTGTATCTCGAAATATAAATGTAGTCAATAAGTCATTAATTTAAAACGAGAAATAAGTGAAACAACTACAATCTTAAAATTAAAAGTGGAAGTACCCAATTCGGAGTATGAGTTAATGACTTAATTCGGATATAGCCATATGGGCCCATTATTTGATTATCAAGTAAAATGTAGTTTTATATTTTCATTTTTTTTAGAATTTTATCAAGTAAATTTTGGGATTTTTTTTTTAAAAAAAAGTTGATACGGGTATCCGTCAGGATACGAGTATCGGAAACTTTCAAAAAATTACAAAAAAAAGTGGAAACTTTTAAAAATTGCAGATACGGCCCGGGAACGTACGGTACGGGTATCCTAGAGTATCGGATACGGGAACGTATCGGATACGCCGATACGCTACCCTAGTGAAGTATCCGTGCTTCATAGGGTGTGAGGTAAACACCCCAAACTTGCATATGTAATTTAAATATCCTAAACTTTAAATAAAAAGTTATTTTTGCACCATTGTTATGTATTATTTCTTTCAAAAATGTAAATTTATGGGGTTAATTCCATAATCTAAAATAGAAAATTAAAAGTGTTGCAATTATATAGATTGGGGGTAACATTATCTATTTTCTAATGGAAGTTTAGAATGTTAATTGTGTCTTCATGAATTCTAAAATATTTTAAATTATACAATTGACACCACAAATTTACATTTTTGAAAGAAATAATACTTGTCTATGGTGCTAAAATAATTTTTTTATAAAGTTTGGGATATTTAAATTACATATGCAAGTTTGGGGTGTTTATCTCACACCCCTTCAAAGTTTGGGGTATTTTATTTATTTTTCCCATAAATTTAAGGTGAAAAGGTTAAAGTTTATAATTGAAAAGTAAATAATTACGAGACATAATTGAAATACAGTTATAAAATATAGACCTAAGCGGATATTTCCACTAAATACTATTTCGACTTGGCCCAATTAGTAAGCTACGCTAATGGTAGCGGGCCGGCTAGCCCAATATCAGGACCAATTACCCCTAGCTAACTTGTCCCTGATCTTATCAGGCCTACTTCCAAACTATCACGCCATACAATATCTTATTCGATCCATTAATTTCAAAAGTTCTTTATCGTTAGTGACTTGGCCAATTGGCCATATAGTAGATAACAAAAGACAAGTCATGCTGTATTTAAAAAGTTACTACCTTATTGTCACAAAATTTTATTATAAGTTCGTGAAGGAAAAGACCATAGATTCTTTTCATTTTGTTCAAGATTTTGGATGGGTCACCCCATAATTAAATGATCTTAGTATAGGAAGTCTACAATTATAAAATTCTACAATTATCTCATCAATTTTTCTAATGTCATTGATTCAAAGTATAGGAAGTCTTCAGTTCTCTCAATGAATTGTTTTTATGTACATACATATGTATAAGTAAATATTTATAAGCAGTACAACAAAATTTAAGGGAGTGTTTGCGGTTGCTTCAACTTTAAATAAGTGATTTTTTAAAGTGATTTTTGAGTGATTAATAGTAAAAGACTAAAAGTTGATAGGGTTTGAAAAAAAAGTGCTTCAGAAAAAGTAAAAGTTGGTAGTGTCTGATAAAGTAAGTGTTTTTTGTGTAATAGAAAAGGTGAAAAGCAGTTTAAAGCACCCTTCGACTTGCTTTCTGCTTTTGGCTTTTAAGTAGTTAATTTAAGTATAAGCTATCATTTGAAAACACCAATTTCAGTTTTTTAAGCCAAAAACTGAAAAACACTTTTTTATTTTATTTTATGCAAACAATCCCTAAATCTTGACCCTTTCAATATACTACGTAAGTTTTTTAAGTGCCGACCTCCCGATCATGATATCTTTGGCTCTGCCACTCCCCATGTTCTTTCAATTATCATTCAACAAATTAAGTGAAGCTTATAAGAACAACTTGAAGCATTGAAATGAAATGGAAGAAAGACATATTAAGAAGTACTCCCTCCGTTCCGTTGGAATGTTCCCGCTTTCCTTTTTTGGATGTCCCGTTGGAAAGTTCCCCTTTCCCTAAATGGAAAGTTATCCTACATCAAAACAGTGTCAAACAGTGCAAAACAGTGTCAAACAGTGTCGAAACAGTGCCAAACAGTGTCATAACAGTGTCAAAACAGTAAAATTTATCCCCTGGTAAGTTTATTTTCTTAATATGTGTGTAGGTCAAACCGAGAACATTCCAACGGGACAGAGGGAGTATTAGTAATGCATAGAAGAGAATAGTTAAACTCAAGAAGTATCTTTTTATCTTATTCTTTTTTATTTTTATCTTTTATTTTATTTTATTTTATTTTTATCTTTTTTGTGGTACATTTTTTTTATATCTTTTCTCTTTTTGCTTCTAATTTCATTTATGGATTTATTATGTAAGTTAAATTTCAATTCCATATCTTTGAGACTAAAACTTGGACCTTTGGATGTTATTGTTGTGTGTGATCTTAGTAACGTATCTAGTGTTATCAATTGCAATAACTACGTTATTCGTGTGCCTCATTTTTTATCTGATAGTGGACTTTGCTCTTCCTTTTTTAAAAAAATTAAATGTATACTCTTCAGGGGTACAAATTCAAAATTTTTGTATACAAAATCCAATATCACTCGAAAGTGGATGCAAATTCCAATTATCACTCAAAAGTGGATGAAAAAATGCAAAATCAAATTTCCCTGAATACTATCCCGACTGATTTTTGTAAGAAGATTTGCAATGTGTCTGTCGTCATGTTTTTCAGGTTGAACAAGAGTTTTTCGGCTGTCCGAAATTTGCAAAGAACTGCCCATTCTTGGCCGAATAACGTTACAAGAGAGTAGAGCCGGCCGCCGGCCGCCGGAGATCTGCTAACATGATGGTCGGGATGAATTAACCGCGAGTGAAACATGACGGCCGCCGGAGATCTGGTAATCAGCAAAAATTATTAACCGAGAGTGAAACATCATAATCAGCAATAATTGCGTACTCTTTCACATTTACGATTCCTTTGTCGCTACCTGTGAGCTGTGTTGATTCATCTCTCAGCCCGTTAATAAACAGTAAAAATTAAACTCATACCAATCATTGTCACAGGGACACGATGAACACGTTTGTCGCCATCCTCATCCCTCTATGTATATCTTATTTTTGTTTTCCATTGCGAAAACCGGAATTCCTTCGTTTCTCGTTAAGATGGGCCAAATCCAAATTCTCCTCCTTCTCCTTTTCTCCTCATCCGAATATTCCTTCCACTCTTCCATCTCCATGCTATAACGGGCTCCGGATTTCACAATTCGGAGAGGAATCGACAGATCGGGGATTTGAATGGCGTCGGTGTTTCTGTACCACGTGGTGGGGGATCTGACGGTGGGGAAGCCGGAGCTGGTGGAGTTCACGGAGACGGAGACGGTGGAATCGGCGATTAAGGCCATAGCGGAGTCAACTGAGTGCGGGATACCGGTTTGGAAGAAGAGGTGTCAGCCGCACGGCACGGCGGAGAGGGCGGAGATGCGGCAGCAGAGGTTTGTGGGGATACTTAACTCGCTCGACATTGTTGCCTTTTTGTCCAGAAAGGAGTGTTTGGCGGATCAGGAGAAGGCCATGAAGACTCCTGTTTCTGAGGTGGTTGTGCCAAACAGTTCCTTGCTGAAAGAGCTTGATCCTGCTACCAGGTTAGTAATTTAGTTTTTGGCAATATTTTAAATATTACTACTACTACTTCGTACTGGGTTTGAAAGTGATGCAATGTACTGGTTGTACGGCTGTACCTAATAACAATCGAAATAAAAAAGGGAAAATGGAAACTAATAATCCAACTTTTTAGCGGTCTTCTTTCAATAATCCCACCTTTTGATTATTCATGAATAATCCAACCTTTGCACCCCATCTTCATTCGTTGGTCCCTGATCGGTTAATGACCTGCTATTCCAAATTATTTTCTTATCTTTGCAAAATATTATCTTTGTGAAAGATGAGATTTATGGTATAATGATTTGCAAAGATAAGAAAATAGCTTGGAATAGCAGGTCATCAACCGGTCAGGGACTAGTGAATGAAGATGAGGTGCAAAGGTTGGATTATTCATGAATAATCAAAAAGTGAGATTATTGAAAGAAGACCGCTAAAAGGTTGGATTATTGGTTTCCATTTTCCCAATAAAAAATGTGTCTTGTGTGTATTTCGAATTCAATATCAAATAGATATTCACTATATGTACATGATCAGAAATAATTTACTCTACATAATACTCCGTATAACTTAAATAGTTCCCGGTTTGATTTGAGTCTGAGTTTAAAAAAGTGAATATATGGTTATGGTTGAGTAAAGAAATGTAAATGAACGATAACCGCACAAAACTTTCAAAAAGGAAAATGAGAACACTTTTTCACAAAACTTTCAAAAAGGAAAATGAGAACACTTTTTTTGGACAACTCAAGAAGGAAAGTGTGAACTATTTTGCAGGATGGATGAGTATAACTCCGTATTATATTTTACTTCGTTTTGTCCGCTCCAAAATGTTAAAGTTATAATTGGTTAAAGTTTGGTACAACACTAAAAATGGCGAAAATAAACTGATTAATACACGCATTGAATACTTACCTCACATCTATCAACAACAACAACAACAACAACATCCAAGCCTTAGTCCCAAATGATATTGGGGTCGGCTAACATGAATCGATATATGATATCACATTATCACCAAAAGGAAAAGAAAGAAAATAAAGATAAAAAAGATAAGCTATTATAAAAAAAAAGATAATATAAAAGAGATGAATATACATATAAAAGATCAAATAAAAAGGATAAAGTAATATTTATATATAAGGATAAAGATATAAAAGAAAAGGAAAAAAAGAAGAAGAAGAAGAAGAAGAAGAAAAAAGATGATACAAGATCACTCCTCAACACGAATACCCGCCCTCCATTTTGCTCTCTCCAAAGCCATACCCTCATCCAATCCAAGAAGAAGCATATCACTTCTGACTCCCCTAACCCACGTCTGTTTGGGCCTTCCTCTCCCTCTCTTCCCTACCTCTTCTCCACACATCTCAACTCGTCTGACAGGTGCATCACTCGGTCTTCTATGCACATGACCAAACCACCGTAGGCGTGACTCCCGCATCTTATCTTCAATAGGTGCTACTCCCACCCTTTGTCTAATTGTCTCATTCCTCACGCGGTCCTTTCTAGTATGCCCACACATCCAACGCAGCATGCGCATCTCTGCCACACTCATCTTTTGAATGTGACATTGTTTCACCGCCCAACACTCCGTGCCATACAGTAATGCCGGCCTAATTGCTGTCCTATAAAATTTACCCTTTAGTCTAGTCGGCATACCTCGATCGCATAGAAATCCTGACGCACTCTTCCACTTCATCCACCCTGTTCTGATTCTATGGGATACATCTCCATCTAACTCACCGTCCTTCTGAATTATGGAGCCCAAATAACGGAACATATCGCTGACTGGTATCTCCTTACCATCTAAAGTAATTCCGCTATTACCACTGCTTCTACCTCCACCAAACTTGCACTCCATGTACTCTGTCTTGCTCCTACTTAGTCTGAAACCCTTGTTCTCCAATGTCTGTCGCCATACTTCCAACTTTGCTTTAACCCCTGATTGCGTCTCATCAATCAATACAATATCGTCGGCAAACATCATGCACCACGGTATATCGTCTTGAATTGACTTTGTAAGTTCATCCATGACTATGGCAAATAAAAAAGGGCTAAGAGCCGATCCTTGGTGCACTCCGATAGTAATAGGGAACTCCGCAGTCCTCCCTACACTAGTACGGACACTTGCAGTACAATCCTCATACATATCCATGATGATGCTGATATACTTGCGTGAAATGCCTTTTCTAGTTAAGGCCCACCAAAGAACTTCTCGAGGTACCCTATCATATGCCTTTTCTAGGTCAATGAACACTAAATGCAAATCCTTGTGAGCGTCTCTATACTTCTCCATAAGTTGCCGAAGAAGGTGAATAGCCTCAGTTGTTGAGCGACCAGGCATAAAACCAAATTGATTCTTTGAGATCTTCACCGTTCTTCGAAGTCTTTGCTCAATCAATCGCTCCCAAAGTTTCATGGTATGACTCATAAGCTTAATCCCCCGATAGTTGGCACATTCTTGTACATCACCTTTATTCTTAAATAAGGGAATAAGAGTACTCTTTCTCCAACTCGTTGGCATCTTGTTGTTTCTCCAAATTTTGTTGAAGAAATTTGTTAACCACCCGATGCCTCTCTCTCCCAAACTTCTCCAAGCCTCGATCGGTATGCCATCTGGACCCACTGCTTTCTTCCGCCCCATCTTCCTCAAAGCCTCTTTAACTTCCGTTGGTTGGATCCTTCTCACAAAATCACGATTTACCATACAATCTGGTATGGTCAAATCATCGATATCTTGCACTTTGTTCCCGTTGAACAATGTATCAAAGTATGATCTCCACCTCTCTTGCACGATTTACCTCACATCTATCAATCCAACATAATCATATGGTTGATGACAAATGCAAGTAAAATTGATTTTTTGAAACATCCAAGCTATCAATGATATACTCCGTATGTACGTTCATATGAAAAGTCTGACTACCCAAAATACAGCCTATGTTGCACGAAAATGTGAGAATCATGGAGAAACTGAAAACGGGTAATGTCATCTTTTAATAAGAAACAACATTTTGGGGAATTTCAAGAGTTTTTGTAGAGTTTCCAAGGTTTTCCCAATAGTTTCCGTGGTTCTGAGAGGATATTATTGAAACTAATTAATACTCCCATCAAGATTTGTGAGAAATGTCCACTTAACAAATAAATTGATTCTCCCTCTCATCATGATACCAAGAATTTCATGATTCATATTCTGGTTAATTTTTCCGATATTAGTCCCAAATAAGAGTAAATTTGTTTCAAAATGTAACAATAAGATTCTAGTTTTTTTAAAAAAAATGGGAGTAATTTACGTTCTCTCTTCCTATACACTTGTTAGATATGTAGTCATTGAACATATACTTTATCTCCATTAGTACAAAATTAATATATTCACTTTTTCAATCAATTCTGTGTACATCCCAATTAATGTCAAGTCGATATCCTGTATTGTATTGCAAAATAATACTCTCTAGAATCTTATTTGTTTGCTTGCTCATATAAAAAATAAAAGTACTTATATGAATTTCATATAAGTATTTTTTTTGTTTAAACTAAACATTTTTATGTTAAAAATACCAATTTGGAGTTTTCTTTACATTTCACATTGTTCTTCGCTTCAAAACAAAAAATAGTTGGAATATTAAAATGAATTCTCCACTACATGTATGACAATACACCACACACAAAAAGCTAAATTCTTTGATAGCCAATTAACTATACCAATAACTAAAGTAGTGATCTGATAAGGGCGACTGAAAGTTAAACTCTTGTAATAAAATACTATGTATGTAGTAATTGATATCCAACTAAAGATTGATAGATGCACTGGAGATGATGAAGCATGGCGTGAAACGGCTTCTGGTTCCCAAAATTCTTGTGTGGAGAGGAATGAGCAAGCGTTTCTCTATTCTATACAACGGCAGGTGGCTCAAGACCATTAAAACTCCTGCAACTAATGCCAACCAACCATCATCATGTGCTGCTTCCATACGTGACAAGTTCTGTTGCCTGTCAAGAGAAGATGTCATCCGTTTTGTCATCGGTTGCCTCGGTGCATTGGCTCCTCTACCTCTTTCCTCCATTTCCTTCCTCGGAGCCATCAATCCAAACTACTGCTCTGTTGAGTCATCCCGACCTGCAATAGAGGCGTCCCAAACAACCCCTCATGATCCCGGTGCAATTGCGGTTGTGGAGGCCACTTTAGAAGGACACAGTAAGATCATCGGTGAGATCTCCGCGACTAAACTGTGGAAATGTGATTACTTAGCTGCGGCGTGGGCACTGGCTAATCTCTCTGCAGGGCAGTTTGTTATGGGGGAGGAAAATGTTTCATCTTCAAGATCATTGCCTGATTTTGCTGCTGTCAGGTGATCTTCCTTTCACCCTTTTTTGTTGCTTATTAGCTATTAGCACCCCTTCACTTCAACCTATTCCTATCCCCAACGAGTCAAACTAAGCCGATCATATGTTTTCAGGCGAAATTGTCCATATTAGGAGTAAAACATACTGTATTTGATTACAAGTTTTCACGCGAAATTGCCCATAGTAGGAGTAAAACATAATCAGTCATATTTTTTAGGCGAGGAGAACAGGTTCTTAAACCCCCTATATTAGCTTCTGTTCAAGGGTCAACAAGCAGGGTGAGGAAATTCAGCAGCAGGAGTATTGGGTTCTTTAGCAATAATATTGCAACCAACACGAGCTTAGGCGCGAGAAGCATGTATAGGGGAAGGAGTGCACCATTGACGTGTAGGATTACGAGTTCGCTGGCTGCGGTCATGGCTCAGATGCTGTCGCATCGTGCTACTCATGTGTGGGTTACCGAAGCTGAAAATGAAGAGAAATTGGTTGGGGTGATTGGGTATGCGGATGTCTTAGCTGCTGTCACCAAAGCTCCACATTCCCTCTTAATTCCAGATACCACACATTCATCTTAAATACAATAGTATAAGATTTGGTTTCTGAGCTCTACCATACCTTAAGGAAGGTTATAATGAAGAAAGAATTGCCTTATGTTCTGTTATGTCTGTTTGGTTGGCTTCTTTTTTCCTTTTGATGGACTGGCGGATTCATTGTGCAGATGATGTGTATACTTTGTAGTACTGTTTAAAATTACCTTACGGTACAATCATTGAGCACACTATTTGTAAGATTAACAATGAACATACAATTACATTAGATTATTTGAGGTAATACGCACAGTAGGATTTTCTTCTCGTATGAACCGTGAAACATCGATAATGTAAGACTACTTTCAAAGGTTTGTTTGTTCAGTGATAACACAGGGAATGCAAACAAATTAGCTTTACTTTGCTAATCTATTTTATTTTGTTAATTTTATCCCAGAAACAACTGTACGACTCATCAAATTATGTACTACGTATTATTTATGAATTAAGTTTATATTTACTTTATTTCCAGCCATCTATATGCAGAACTAATTAAAGGATCACCAATCTACCCACAACAGAATCCCTTAACCAAAGGAAGCTCCAAAATTGACAGAATGTACTAATCCCCCGTCCCGTCCCATAATAACAATTACACTAGTGTTTTACCCGGGCGTTGCCCCGGGTGAAAATTTAAATTATATGACTAGTATGTAAGTTATACTTGTAATTGTTTATTCTTCAATTTATATGACATAAAACTTGATGGATGATAAAATAACAACTGACAATACAATATTAATATTGTCATACTTTAGAAAATAATATTTTGAGTTTTATGAGCTATATTTGAAAAGGCACCTAACATATAAAATAATAATCTTAAGAAAAATTGTTTTTTATAGAACATTTATGCTTGAGAAGAAATTAAACTTCTCAAAGACATAGATGATTGGTAGTTAGGTCATATGTGGAATTATGTTCTTGTTTTCTTGCTTTAATAAAGAATAAGACTGTACCAAAAAGTGTATATACAAACAGTCGTTTTCAAAATTTTTTGAAATCTTATATGTCTCCACTATGAAATATTTAGAGTTGATTTGCTTTTATAAAATCACTTATTTTTAAAAGAAATCAAACAGATGAACCCAACGTGAATGTAGATAGACAAATGAACACGAATGAACCCTATATAGAGTTACATAGGACAATGATGCCTATGTATACCTCACTTTTAAAAGTGTTTAGTTACAAATTTTGTATACCTTATAATATATTGATATTTTTGTGTATGCACTCATGCTACAATCATTATGCATGACATTTCAATTAATTTTACTTCTAATTGCATAATGGGGTAAGTTGCATAATAGTGAGCACTCTACATACACTTTTTAAAATTTTTAATAGGTGCACATTTATACATTTCACACTCAATTATATAACAAACACCACATACTTTGATATACTTTTGTACACTCTCCAATGCGCTATATGATAAATATTTCACACTTTAAATTTGATTTTTTTACTATTGTATTTAAATACTTAAATAGGCAAGCTTTTATATTGCATATTGCTTCTAAAACATTCCCACAATAGTCAATTAAGGTATATAAATTTTCAAGACAATGGAAATTAACTATTTTATAATTGTTTGGTATTTGCTCTCAAATAAATTAGAAACACTGATGATATGCAAGATTAACATATTAAAAGTGCATAGCTAAATGGACATAATTGATGGTTTTTACCGACCGAATAAAGAAGGAAAAATAAAATAAAGGGAGTGGTGAAAAAATAATTCTAATATTAAGAATTAATCTAATTCATTAGAATATTATTTAAGATAAAGAATAGAAAAGGTAACAAAAATATTAGTACATATAGGAAGAGCAAGAAACTTAAAATGAAGGAAAAACAATACATATTTAAAGAGATAAGCGCTCAATCAATGCACATTGAATTGAATGAGCAATGAAATTTTTAAAATTGCCCTAATGGGAAATATTTTAAAAGATATTGTAGCAGTATACCTCATGTATGTGTGATTGCATTGTAGGGATTTGACTGGTCTTGTCTAAATAATTCCACATTTATGCAATCCCAAAATAATCATAGATTCACACTTCATCTTCTTTCGTTGGACCCTAACAGATTGATGACCAACCGTACCGGCTTTTTTTTGCATTTTCTTTGAAAATCTTACATAAATAATCCCACATTTCAAATATCTACTCAAAGTTGTCCCATATGTTTCATTTTTTCTTTTTTCTCCCTAAAATTTTTCTTTCTTTATTTTTATCTCTAGATAGTTTTTTATTCTTTTTCCGTCCTTTTGTTCTTATTTATTTTGCATATTTATTATTTTATTTCTCACTCTATTAGGAGTGTTTATTTTGTAAAATTTTTGTATTTCACTTTTCGATGAAATAATAAAGATCTTTAATAAAAAGAGAATGATTAAGAAGAGAATCATAAAAAGGGATATAAAATAAAAATACAAGAAGAAAAAATGACCAAACATCTATTGGGGAAGGAAATATTACAAAAAAAATCTTTTAATAGCGTGAGAAATAGAATAATAAATATTTGAAAAGAAATTAGAACAAAAGGATGAAAAAGAGAATAAAAAGGTGTCTAGGGATAATAATAAAGAGAAAAATTTTAGGGAGGAAAATAAAATATGAAACATAAGACTGTTTTGAGCAGATTTGTGAAAGGTGAAATTATTTATGTAAGATTTCCAAGGAAAATGCAAAAAACCTGATATAGTAGGTAAGAGTCCTACGAAAGAAGGTGAAGTGCAAATGTGGGATTGTTCTAGAATTACGTAAATGTGAGATTATTATGAGAAGATTTGTCAAAAGTTAGATTATTCTTATCAATTTCTTCTAAAAAAATGGGATAGGTATAACGATAAAGTATATGGGCCTAGACCCCATGGCCCACATACTCAGAAGGTCAAAACACTAGAGAGGGGCACCCACGTGTCTCTCATCGGCCGAGGGGTATCGCATCGGCCAGAAAGGAAAGTCACCCATAATGCAACCCGAAGATAATGCGAGTTCGCATCGGTCGGGGATCGCATCGGCCAGGGGACGCATCAGCCAAGGGGTATCGGATCGGCCTGGAAATGCACTGGCAGAATGGGTTTACACTTAATCTACTAAGTCATGTATTCAGCCCATTAGTGGCCTTATTATGCCCAAAAGAGGCATCATTATTGTAAAGGGCTCCTAAGCCCATGGCTAGGATCCCAAATCCACATTTACTCCTATAAATAGCCCGCTAGGGGGTAGTTATAGGGGGTTGAGAAATATTAATTGCGCACTTTCTCTCTCTAGCTCTCACTTCTCTCTAGAATTTAATGCTCTATCATATACTACGTACATTATAAAGTTGGAACATAATCTATATAGGGTGAAAAGTGCGAAAATTTGACTTTTGCCTCGTTACACTGCTTTTATAGGTTCCAATACTGCACTTTTCACGATGACAAAAAACATATACTACCTCCGTCACATTCAAAGGTTCTCATCCACTACTAATTCGCCAGTCAAAGTAAAGTCTTCTTAATCTTTTACTTTATATATCCAACTTTTATTAAATTCGAATTTTTCTTTTGCACTTTTATAAAACTCTTAGTGTAGTTTCTGAATATGTAAATTCTATTTACTAAAAAAGTCTAATTACGGACACAGATTAATTAACTTTATGATCAGTCAAACATCATAAACCACATGGAAACCTTTCTACGGGACAGAAGGAGTACATATTTACGGAAATGTCACTGCATTTTAAACCCAATGTGCTGCATTGTTGGCACTTTTGATGCCATAAGATCTCAAATTAAATACACGAAGAATATTCTCATTTTTCACATGAAGAGCCCGTTTATTGATCCATATTTTAACATCCTTAGCCTTATTAGTCAACTTCTTTCTAAACACTTTAATTTCGCACGCTGAATTGTGTAATAATCAAACTAAGTAAATTTGGAGTTACTTTTCTAACTGAATTGGTTGGTGGTACTATAAGGGACCGTTTCAGCAGAGGGTTTTCAAAACCCTATGAATAAATATAACTTTTCCGTAATTTGGCAGATTTAATTAACTCAAACAGCATTTCATCAATTTTAGAAGATTTGGTCGATTCAATCAATTCCAATGTTACGAAAAAGACTAAGAGCCCGCTTGGTAATAGCCAAGTTGGCCGTATTGGCTGATTCTACTGAAATTTATGGAGGTTTGGCTGGTGTGGCTGTATTGGCTGATTCTGCTGATTTGTGAACAAATAATAATTTAAAATACATTTTATTAATAAAATAAAGAAAACATTATATGAAAATATAGCTAAAATGGCCCTCAACAATAACTTCAGACAAAATAGCCAGAAAAGTTACTCTAACGTTACTTTTTCTTATTATTACACAATTCAGTCCGTAAAACCAGAAGTAACGTGTTTGGTGAAAAAGTTGGATTATAAGCCTGAAAAGCCGAAAATCATTGCTACCAAACGGGTACTAGGACTTCCATTTATTTGATCCAAAATTTATACGCACAGATATATTATTATATATTAAAAGGCAATATTTATAAAATATTAAAAGAATTGAATTCCACCTTAAGTGTAAATTGCCTAATTGCCTCTAGGTAATTGAATTAAAAATACGCTCTAGCATACGACATATATACAAAATAAAATCTATACTAAAAGAAAAATGTTAACTGAGAAAGAAAGGTTATGCACAATCAATTTTCATGAATCATTTTTAGTAAATAAATTAATTCATTTACCGTATGATACATTAAGGATGTTTTTACTTGGACTGTATTTGCTGGTCTGGTCTGGTCTGATCTCGTTTCTTTGTATTTTTATAACTATCCAAGTCTGGTCTGATCTGGTCTGGTCTGGGACGAATTACAGTCCAAATAAAAACATCCTAACTTGAATAGGAACTACATGCAATAAGCAAACAATCAATTTCAATAATTTGACTTAATAGCAATTAATTGACAAATCAATTTCATTTTGAAGGTTCTACTTTATTATGAAGTAAGTAGATTGCATATTTTCATGATGAATGTTTGACTGATGATAAAATAAACTTTCTCATATAACATAAATTTAAATGTAATAAATTTGATGCGTAAAACTGTTAGTATCGGAATATTATATAATGGTTCTATAAATGGATATGAACTAGATAATACTTCTAGTCACGTATAATACATTTTTGTAAGTTTATTATCTGCGGTATAATAGTAATCGTGTTGCAAGATAAGTTTTTCGGTTATTAAATAAACACCAATACAAAACAAGAAAGTTATATATAGAGTATTCTATTTTTAATCACTGTTGCTTCAAATAATAGGATGAATATGGCAAAAGAAGTATATTCCAGAAAGTAAAGACTTCGGGCT